AAAATTCAGCAGTGTCAGAATTTTAATCTCTAAATTAATAAGAATTATTGTGTTATGGTTCCCATTGGAGAAAATTCCTCTACTTGGAGCTTAATTATATGCACTTCATTAGTTGTTCTTAATTAACAGATATTTCGGTTAGAGAGATATTCCTTTGTGACGACTAAATTATGTGAGTTTTGAGGTCCTGCATTTGAGGTCCTGCATTTATGGTGATGCCTATGCTTTGTATTTTTTTTTCCTCTTTTTTTCTTCCTTTTTGAAGGAAAGATTAGAGCTTCATGTTATTCTACTTTGCTTTTTATCATGCATCTCTGTTCTGCTATAAGTCAAAAGTTCTGCTTTTGATGTTGTTACATACTAAATCACTGGCAGTTGTGCAGCAGAGGCAGATTTGATCTGTACCCGGATGCCTGTATATCGGTACTGCTCTACAGAGTGGGAGTTAGCAGAAGGCCTATCCCTGTTTGGCTAGTCCAGCCAATAGGTAACTTTGAAACACATTTACTGAGGAGGAAGATCACCTGGCAAAGTGTTGGTTTAATTTGGAAGCATTGTGGGGGAAGAAAGAGTTGAATGAAATGCAAGTGTTTGCAAGGCGGCAGCAGCAGCATCTATGAAAGTTACTACTACTTTGTTTGTTTGTTTCCCTGAGAAAATCCCTAGTTTAGTCTAGCATTGAATAAAAGCTTACAGTCGGACTATCTCTTGGAATGTTTCCAGCTGTAGTTACAAAATGAATAGTTTTTGACTCCTTATTCAACTACACTAAGTCTTGCTGTGCCACAACTTTCATGGAATTCATGGGGAAGGATATAAAGCATTTGTAACTTCTTTATTAAGAATATGAGGAAAAGTTGCTTTCAAAGCAGAATAAGCCATTTTAAAATTTCAAAATATATCATTTCAAAGGCACTGAAGAGTCATTTCAACTTTTCCATATGTTGGCCAAACATTTATCTGAAAATATATCTGAATTCTATTCCTGAATTCGGTGAATTTCAGTTTTTCCCAAACTTCTGGGTTATTTTAATTCTTTTACCAGTGACCAAAAACATTCCACTCTGATTGTACTTCAGGCGGATAGATACCTAATTGGGAAAAAGCAGAGGTCACACATTGACCCAAAAGAGGATTGAAAACTCTGGATCTGTGAAATTCCCATTTGCTTTTTCTTTGGTGGGAAACTCCACTGTATTTAGCTTGTTTGTGCTCTGGGTGCGACTTGAGGGGTTGAGGAGCCATTATTGGAATACATACAGATGTGAGAGCATCTGGCCAGATCGGTTTGATTTATTTTGGTCTAGTCTTTTAACCTGGCTCTCGTTGTTCTTGTGTAGCTCTTTTTCAAGGATAGATTGAGTAATGCGTTTTCATGGGGAAGGGATTTGGAGGGTACTGTGTGGGCAAGGTTTCCAACCTTCATTTGAATAATGAAGTTTGTCTATATGCATATATTTGTGTGCTCACAAGCATACACACATTAAAGCTAAATAAATTTGACTATAAATGCAGCTGCAAAGTAAAGACCATTCTTTTCTAACTAAATTTACCAGATTAGAAGGTTTTTATATTATTTGCTGTTGCCTACTGATTTGCTTTCATTTCATTACTGCATAGTCCTGTATATGTTAAAATAACAGTGTGCTATTAAATTTTCAGAAACATTACCATAATACAAAGCATCTGGAATAAGTTAAGAGCATTAACTGTGAGAAATCTGAAAATTTTAGCGAGGAAGATTGCTATGAAGACTGCAAATGAGAAGATTGAGTCTTTGCTAAATATTTGTGTTACTATAGCAATAGCTACAGATACTGAAATCTTTGAAGGGACTACCTTGAATATGTGTGCAATTGGGAGGTGAAGGTGCTAGCAATATTTTCCTGCCTGTTTGCAGAGGTTTGCCTATTTTGTAATATGCGATGTGATATTGTCTCCAGAAAGTGCAAACATTGTTCATGTAAAATCCACTGGCATAACACATCATGTTAAAAATAAATTGCCTTATGGGGAACCACATTCTTTTGTCTGTCAAAATATTATCTGTATCCATTAGAAGCATTTTGTGATTTTTATCTTTTAAGGCTTTGTTTTTAAAAAATAAACAAAAACGTCATAGATGTTGCACATGATTTCTGTACTTAGGAAAATCATTGTTTGTTAGGCTTAAATTTACTGAAAATAGCAAACTGGTATTTTTTGACCTTTATTGTGTTAATTATTTGAAAATGTGTGGTTTGCAGTTTTTGAACTATTTGAACTGCAGAGTCTGTCATGTATCCAAGGACAGTATTTACTATGCACAAGGAGCATGGGAAGCATGAAGATGCCTGGGCTAGGGAAGTGGACTACAGGAGATGCACATGCATATCTATTGAAAATAGTGAGTTAAGTAATGGAGTTCAGGAGGAATTCATTCTGAGATCAAGATAATGCAGACCTCTTGCTTTGAGACTTTTTTTTTTCCCTCCTCCACTTTATACAATGCATTCACCTAAAAACAAGATACGGCCCGATACATTTGACAAAAACCTCTGCTTTCTTCTTGTGACATATTAGGACCGATGCGTTTGTTGCAGGATGTGGAGAAATGTTTCATGAACTTTGGTGTAGCATGACACCCTGCAGGTTTGTCTGTGCTGGGTTGCATGCTTCCCTGTGCTTGTGAAGAAGACGGGAATGTTTGGTCAGCCCAGCCCAGTTGGGTTCTGGAGCTGCTGCTCCAAAGGAAAAGTGTTTTCAGCACTGAAGAAATCTGAAAGCCAACGTAATCAGGTAGAAGGTCTCACGTGTGCCATAGTACTCATCTCGCCTGTATGCAAAGAGGGAGCAGAGTCTCTGTGTTGCATTTTATGACAGCACGCGTGCAGTCCCGATGTTATGATTTCTTGCACTGTTTAACATGCTCTGCTGCTTATTCTGGTCTGTATTCCATGGGGAGGGCCAGGGCGGGCTGGGGAAAGTGAATAACAGTGAAGCAGTAACAACACTGATTCTAGTGCAAATCTATGTAGGTCTGTGGTACTGGAGTCATCATTTCCTGCTCTACCACTGTACACTGATGGGGCAATGAATCTTGTTTTACAAGGTCAAGCCAGTAGGCACTGTGAAGGGAGCCTTGTTGAATACTTTTCTCTCCTTTACTGATCTTTTATGTACAATTAAGTACTTGGGATGAGGAGGTTGTCAATATGGGTAGGAGTTTAGTTTTCATCCCTTTAGAACTGTTTGGCTATGGGAATGAACTAATCTTTTACCTTGGTACCACAAGTGGGGAAAAACACAGGATTAGATCTGTGAGAAATGCACTATCCTGAGTTGCAAAGTAGTAAATAGTGGTGGTGTCTGATACAGAAATAATGCTTTTGAGAGACTTAGAGAACTACATTCTGGGTGCTCAAGATGCAGAATAACTCTAAGAAAAGTAGGGAATAGATAGCTCTCAAACTATGGAATTTATTGGTGCAGATAAACTTCTTGTTGTAAGTGGGTATGGATGCTGTTGAGTTCAGTGAGATTCTGTAGATGTCTGAAGATGATTCGGATGTGACCTTCAATGATAAATTATAGCAGAGTTTACTGAGAAGATGGAAGAAACATTGGTATGTTGTAGAGAGATACCAGATGGGAGTGAAGAAACATTCTTCAGAGAGAGCAAAATGACATTTATTGAGAGGGAATGGAGAGAGGAATGTAGTAAATGTTTATATAAGGATAAATCACTGTGGCAAATATGAAAATTAAAAGAAAAAAAAAGGAAAGAAATATAATGAAGATGGTAAAGCTGTAATGGTTTGTTGCTGTTGGGTTACTAGAATGTTTCATAGACTAGTACAACCTAATGTGTCTAACCTAACAGGAAGCTGTTATAAAATGGTAGGAAAAATGTAATCAAAGCATATAATTTTGTAGCCAGATGGAACTATAACAAAATGCCTGGGTGAATGAAATCACCAAGTGGGTAGAAAACTGTTGGACCACTAGGCTCAAAGAGTAGTGGCTTGGCTCTTAATGATGTTTATAGATGATTTTGGGCCCGTTTCTGGAAAAAAAAAAAAAGTATGTAATAAGTAGATTCTGTTATATACATCTATATATATATACACGCACATATATTTGTACACCAGCTCCTAGAAACATTGAGGTAGCCTCCACTAATTCCATTATACAAAAAGAATTAAAGCATGTATGCGCACAGTATTGTTCTGTACTTTGTCTAGCATGTTTTTCATGGATCCTGTTATCTTTTTTCTCTCAATGTATATGTAGTTGTACATGCTGGATACATTCATTATGACTGTATTTTTCTTACTGAGCATGTAATGCACTGCCTAATTTTCAAAACAACAAAACTACTATAAAATGGAGATTGCAAATTAGTGAATACTGCACTTCTGATATAAATGAGAATACAGAAAGCTTTTGGAGTCTGCAGATCCTTTCACAAGCAATCATCATTTGATTCCTGACTTAGTAAAACACCCTAATCTCTCTGAAATGAAAGACAGAATTAAATTTCTTGTTAAAACTGGAGCTATTTATGAATAATATAGCCCCACAAATCAGAACAAAAAAGTATAGAAGATTTGTTTACAAGGCTAGAGTATTCATCTAGAGTATTTTTATTGCTCTGCACCAAACCTTTTAATTTTCATGGACTGATTTTTGTTTTGTAAAATGTTCCTGAATAGGCCATGAATTCTCAAACGATACTGTCACCCTGCAAAGCTGGAGCAGAGGCTTTCTTGAGGGTTGTGTTGGTGGAAGTGAATGAAGGGAGATTATTGCTTTTAGCTCACAGTACAGAGAGTTTTAATGGCTTGGCCATGGGTTACTCAGAGGACCTTTTGCTCCCCAGTTCTGGGCTTGGAATATACCTTTCTGACATTTGTCTCACATGAGGAAAAGTTATTTTAACAGTATGACATGATATGGGAGGAGAGAGGCAAAGATGAGATTTCCCAATGAAATTTTTTTTGTATTTCTGTTCTAGTGAAATGAAGCAGAAGCTGGATGAAGAGGGTAACAAGTGCAGCATCCTCTCCAAGCAGCAGAAGTTCAACGAGCACTGCTGCATTCGCTGCTGTTCCCCTTTCACGTTTCTTATCAACAGCAAGCGACAGTGCCAAGATTGCAAGTACAACATCTGCAAGAGCTGCAGTTCTTACCAGAAGAAGGAGAAGGCCTGGATTTGCAGTGTCTGCCAGCAGGCAAGGTAGGAACATATTGTTCAACTGCCTCAGGTAAAGCAGCTGTGGCTGGCCTCAGTTTTTTCCCCTCTATTTGTCAGCAAGTGACACTGGTGAGATGAGGCACGAAGTATCTGTTTATGCAGGTGTTGATTGTTCCTCAAGTGTTTTGTTACCTGTTGCATTGCTAGGTTCTTTACCTAGGCTGATGAATCAGCAAAGAGTAATTGAGCCTAGTTTGTACAGGGCTGTGATCCTGTTAAATATCTAGGCTGCTGATGGAACCCGAGCACAGATGGTGGTAGGACAGTTAATCATTTTTCTGCAAACCCCACTGATGTGTAGGGAGGGGAGGGAAGAATATTAGTGAAAAGGTCACCCAGCTGTGAATGTTTTTTGGTGTGCTTTTCTAAATGGCAGGTTTACTGGTGGGGATGCTTTGCGTTTATTTTGGCAAATAACTGTTAAAAACAGCAGTGCAACCTGTTAGTTATTAACATCTGTTGAGAAAATACTGCCAGGTCTTTTATTTGCAGAAGGTATCAGAGTGATTTTCTGTCTCGCCCTTTTAAAGACTATCATAGCAAACACAATTAAAGATAGCACCAGAAAAAACAAACTTAATCCAAGCAAACACATAACAACAACAACAAAGGGTTTATTGCTAGGATGGTGACTCTGGTGATTCTTCCTGTCTGCGTTGCAGGCCAGATACCAAAGGCACTCTTAGCTATGGCAGCATAGTACTCATCAAGGGTTTTTGCTCAGGTAATAAAATTAAATGAAATAGTCTGGTTCCTTATAGGTTGTTTTTTTAAAAAACGTTTGAGTAAAATAGCCAACTAAATGTGGGAAAGTCTTCCAATTTGGTAGTAAAAGAGGATAAAGACAACAGCTTAGTTGTTTTCCAGCCTTGTATCTTGTTCCTGGGCTCAACAAATACTCATTGGTCTCATTTGCTTCTCATTAATGCCCACTTGAATTTTAACCGTTTACACAGTATCCATATAAGAAGTGTGTGCTCAATGATACAGCACCTCAAAATCATAGGGATCTCGGATAGATCGTTTTATATTTACTTTTAGATGGTTAGGTGCATTAGTTCTGAGCTTCTTAGTTTTAACAGGGAGCAGAACTGCATAAAGAGTTGACATTAATGTTATTGAGGCTGCTCATATGAATAAGGATTTTAGGAGCAGTCTCGTATAACATGCTAAAATCAAACAGTAATACCCTATGCATGTTTTGGTTGTCTTTTCTTATTGTGGTTTTACTTTTTCTACTTTGATAGACACGAATCAAATGGACACACATTGTGTAGACCTATTCTCTGACACTCCACTTACAGCAAAAAAATAGCTTCTACAAAATGATGGAGCATAACATAACTTTTCCAGCTGTGCAGAAACCTCACTGATCATACTGCAACTTAAAAGGCCACCAGTTAATCTCTACAAGAAAGGAATCATACCACCCCTGCACAGTTTTGATGGAGGAGCACTCTGGAGCAGCAAGATAAATTCTCTTTGTGCTTGTTCAGACATTGGCTCTACTTAGTCATTACTGCTGATTCTTTCTGACAAGTTTGACATCACTCTAGTAGGATGTAGCCTGAGACCCAAATTTGTATTATTTTTTTTCTGGCAACCTTCAGACAGCAATGTTCAAATAACTTTACCCACCAGAACTAAGTGCACTGTTGGAGTACAGGCTGCCTCTTGCACACCAACAGTTGCAGCTGTTCTGTGGTATGCTTTAAAATGTTAAAACATTTTGAACATTATTAAACATGTTTTTTAAACAATATTTTTTAAATTTAAAAAATGGAAGTCAGCAAGATCCAGCTGAAGCAGGCAGCTTGGTGTTGGGAGAAGGCTCAAACATCACCATCCATCTCCCCTCCCAGTGGAAACTGCGCAGGAAGGACATGTGAGCTGTGCTGTGTCAGAAGACTAAGACTACCTGACATGTGATGATGTTGCTTGTTTCTTCTGCCCCCAAATGTGTGCATTCAGAATAGCAGAATCATTTTCAGTGTAGCTGGACAAACTGAGAACATCCTCTGTTTTTGTTAGGGTGATTTTTGATGGTACATTGATACAATAGAGAGCACACATTTTAAGCAAGTAATACATAAACAGAAGTAAGTAGAGAGAAATGTCTGACTTTTCAGAGTGTTGATAACAAAGCAAGAAAAATAAATGTTTTAAAATATTTTACAAATAAGTTAGTCCTCAGCTCAACTTTTTAGATCTTCCAGCAGCTGTGAAGCCCCAACTTTAGAGAAGGGAGAAGTTCCTGTGCTGTTTCCAGCTGCCAGCCTTTGGACCCCAAGGGAGATGCAGCCCCCAGGGTAGTTGCTGATTCTCTGCATTTTACCTGAATACATCTTTCCCAGTCAGTGAGGAACCAGACGATTACAAGATTATCTTTCTCAGCAGCATGGAGAGCTACGGAGCCAGTGTTTGCCTCTACTTTAGTCATTCAACCATTGCAAATTACGCTTCTTTATTCCACATCTCCCAAGTTCACCCATATGGGCGGCGGAACAGGCAGCCAGGTTTGCAGATGCTGATGAGCAGCACTTACTGTAGTTATTCATTGACTCAGCAAAAAAAAAGTCTCAAAAGAATTTCATTTCAGAAAGAAAATCTTTAGCTGTATTATAAAATCCTGCCATTTTTTTGCTCTGGAAGAGACAGGGCTTTCCCACAATCCCATGTTGCCCTTCTAGTCACCCACTTGTAACTCAGTTATAAACATTTTCTTTATTTATGAAGCCTGAGACTAAACCTGAGTTAATTTTTCAGTGACTAAATTGCAAACATTGCAAACCATTATGTGATCTGGTCTACTGCCTGTACTGTGCAACCTGCAAAACTCTGTAGAGGAGGAAGGGCCTGGGATTCCTCAGTAGCTGCTGAGCAGTTTTCTTTTTATTTTTTATTATTATTTATACTAGCACTCAGGGTTTTTTTTGCAGTTAAAAAAGCAGGGGCAGTTGCACAGTTCCTCTCAGTTCCCTATCCCTTTCTCAGTGATTTATCCCCCAGATGGAGCATGGACTATGTCTTCCTGCCCATCCCTGGATCCTCTCTTTCTTATTTGTCTTTTATTTTTCCCTTTTGTGGGCCAGCACACAGAGTGGAGGAGGTTCTTTGTTTGGCTGCTGCTTGGTCTGTAAATTTTACCATACAACAGATATCAAGCTAGAAATAGCTCAGAGGGAACTGCATTTTCAGGTTGTGCTCTTCTTCCCTCCCATCCCTAGTTAGTGCCTAGTTAATGCAGTTTAATGCTATAAAAAGAACTATGATGTCTGCGTAACTGGAAGAGTATCAACATGTACAGTTCAGACTTCCCATAGCGATCTGCTTTAATTCTTCAGTTCTGCTCTAGAACAGAGCTGGAATAATCCCGATTTTTATTCTTAATATATATTTGGAATATGTCAACCAGTTCTGTGGTGTCAGAAGCAGTTTGTTGCTGTAGAAAAGGCTACAAAGCATTCTCAGCATAAATTACGTTATAAAGATGGTGCATCTTATTCATTAGAACTTCAGAATCTAATTTGATGAATTACCAGGAGATTGCCTTATACTTAATTGCACATCATGAAATACTAAAAAGTTCCTGTGTGATCTGGGAACCTAAGAACCAATGACTTGAAAATGATTAAATATTTCTGAAATTAAAACCAAACCAAAACCAAATTGTGTAACCATCACCTGAATTCAGATTCAAAACATTTCTGGGAACTGTACCAACCTCATTATGGATCTTACTCCCCATTATCTTCCTCCAAAATAGCAGCAGTAATTTTTACAGTTTGTAAGTGGTTTCATAGTAGATTCATGCACTAAGGTGATCTTGACTCTGAAGAAAATCTGATGTGTGACTTAGTTGTTCGGGGCATGACCCTAAAGGAGACGTGACATTTGTTCTGTGGAATTTTGTTTTTATCTTTCAAGGCAGAGATTTACATTAAACATTTATTGGAGAACAAATATGCAAGTCAGCGTTTGAAAAAGAGCATGTTTGTGGGAAATTGGGCCAAAGAGTGTATGAGGTTAAAGCCTCTGTTTTTTTGCAAAAGCAGTAAATTCTTCTCTAAGCTAGCGAGAAGTTTGGTGTTTGTAGGAGGACAAACAATGCTTTTAAAGCACATCTCTTGTGATTTAAAGATGAGTTAAAAAATAATGCATCTTTTAAATATTGCAAGATTCAGCTTATTACAGAATCTTACTGCTCTGAAATGTGTTTGTAGCTATGTCTGTATAGGCCTCCAGCTTAGAGAACTGAAGAAATTTTCCTCACTTGCTGTTTTTCAGTTTTATATTCTCCAGAAGTGTTTTGGTTTAGAATCACCAGTAGATGCTTTTGTTAATATTCTGGTTGGTTTTTAGTTTGTTTCTTTTTGTTATTGTTATTGTTGTTTTTGTTTTTGTTTGTTTCTCCTCTCCTTCTAGTATGAAACTTTTTCATTAATTTCTTAGTATGTTATGATAAATTTGAGTATTATTCTTGTCAAGTGTTCAATTTATATATGGTGCATTTTCACCTCTTCTAAAGCTTTGCACGGTGTCTCCTCGTTAGGCACTCATGTGTTTGGGTAGCTTTGTGCAGACTGTACATACTCGGCGCTGTTGCCTCTGAGTAGATTCTGGGTATAGTTCCTCTGTATTGACTTCTTGGTGTCGTATAGGGGTCCTTTAGAAATAGGGCAAGCTTTCCATTCAATACCCTCAGGCCATGCAAAAGCTCAGTGTAACTCCGTAAAGTCTGACTGACCACGTCATTTTTTCCGTGACTATTTGGCCTGAATCTTCCAGTATTTTAGAGTCCCTTCTCTGGACTCACCGTTTCCGTATCAGAAGATCTCTATTTCTGTTCTGAGTGGGAGTGTGTACACCTAGTGCTTTCATGCCTTCCTATCCATCTGCTGTGCGAGTCTCTCAGTTGTTGTCAAAGCTCTCACTCAGATGATGAGGGTTTATCATCGAGTAACCTTTTGCTTAGCTCCCTG